GCTACTTCAATGAAAAAAATAAATAAAAAAAAAACAACTTTTTCCTGGTGAAAAGAAGGAAGAGGCAGAGTCAGGCTGACTTTGGTATATTGACGTGAATACAACCATGAAGACTAACGTAGTGACACAACGAATTCGGTCCACTACAGAACAACGACAGTGGTCACCAAACACCCTTTCGAGCCACTTATTTAACCGCATATAATGTAACACTTTTTCCCAAATTTTGAACCTTGGAAGTGTCTCTGAGGTTTGTTATTTGGGCATGAATATTTCTTTTTGAAATTGTTTGTTGAAAAGTGATCATTTTACTTTATTTTGATAAAAAAATCATTGCTGAACATAAAATGCGTGTTCAATACTTGCTGTTTAATCAGTGCAAAGCGGACAGCGGAAACACTGCAATGGATCGCCGAAGTTTGTGGTAATAATACTGTAGGTGCATGTATAGGATACAAATCCTATATCATTCAAACAAATGACTAAAAAACACAAAGTAGATTTGCACACCCGCAAAATCGGATTAAAACGACTAAAAACAGATTTCGCAATAAGCTGTGAAATTAATTTTCTGACCAATGAAAGGAGGAGATTTGCTAAACTAAAAAAAAAAGATAACGAGCCAGTGTGAAAAAAAGTCAACAATAAATAGAGAGTTTCAAGTCAATCACCAGTCAGAAGGGCGCAGAGATCATAGAGGACAGAAGACTGATAGTAAATTCCATCACTGACTCAACCCGACACTAAGAGCCGAAAGTGGAGTAGGAAAGGACAACAACAACAATAACAACAACAACAACAAATTTACAACTGACTCCAAAACAATTAACCCGATAAGTACATTTTCCTCTTATCTTTTATTTCTCATCCACACTCTCTTTTTCAACTTAAATTGATCGTCTCTTTTTCCTTTACGCATATACAAAAACAAATGAAACAGATATTACTCTGCTACTCTGTTGAAAGACAGCGAACGCAGACATTTTTTGTCAAAATCACATTTTGCTTAAACGAACTAAAGCATTAATCTTTTTTACCCTATTCACAAGATAATAAATATACAATGTTCTATTTTCTACAAACGTTCCTTATCGTGTTGTTTCTTCTTGAAATTTGCGTTGTATTTTGTGGGCAGGGTATCCCGTATTAAATTCTCCTTTGAATCCGGGTACGCTGAACCCCACGCATGCACGCGTTGAATAGGGTTTGCGAAATTTGACCAAAAAATGGAAGCTTCGAGTTCAAGGACAAAGGACACTCTGGAAAAACTCAGAATTTGAAAACAGATGAATTTGAGAATCTTAAAAAAAAAGACGCAACAAATACCAAACATATGAAAATTCTACTCGCTCGGTCATTAGGAATGTAACGGCAGCACGATACGCAATGCTAAATGAATAACCACATGAGAGACTGTCTGCTCACGCATTCACGGTAAGGTTTCTTCTGACGTGAATAATGTTATATCAAGGCCGCGGAACTGGTTCTTCAGCTATCTGAATACATTCTTGACAGACTTCGTATGATTTTAATTGCTTTACAATAATTCTGTTGAACTCTTTACAGTTACGTTTGCTCTTGTTGAAAGATGGCGGATTACCCAGTTGATCTAAGTTTACTTTTTGTTTACAGTTTGCAGAAAGCGACGATTAACTAAGATACACAAAAGCCAGAAAGTTGCTGCTAATGGTGAATGAATAAAAGATTTCTTCGTTAAACATGAATATCTTCTTCGATATTGCAAGCATTTCAAGAAGCGCTTTTGTGTAAATTTCGAAAACAAACATATTTGTTTTGTCCGACCAGTCATTTTTTTTCTTCTTTGCCTCCGATTTCAATCTCAACCACTGAACTGCGCACACAAGTGCGCAAATTCTGTCTGCAAAAATTTCTGCTCTATTGTGGTCGAAAACAGCGGGAATTTTTCAAACTTTTCAATCGAATTTCGCATACAATACAAAAAAGGTAACAACGACCTGAATCGTGATATTGATGAAAAAATATTGAAAGAAATATTGGAAAACGCCAAGAAAGTGTTTCTACATGAGCTGAGGTCACGATTTCACAGAACACTGATACCTACTGGCCTCGATGTTTAAGTACTAATTTTTTCTTTAATTTAAGTCGTTGATTTGGGATGCGACCTCTGCCGATATATTTTCGACCAGTAATTTGATCAGGTCCGCGGTTGAGCCTGTCTCTGTTACTCGGGACGCAGAGATAATAAAAAAAAATAGTTAAATGCTGATAGATAAAAAAAAATAGTTAAATGCTAATAGATTTTTTTTTTTTTTACGACTGTGGCAGTGGAAACTTCTGGTGTTATTGGACCTCGTTCGATGGCGTTCCTTCGGAGGGTTGGAGGGATTGCGTCTCGATTAAGGGAGTGGCTCTTCCAGTGTGTCTGACTGGTGATGGTTCAAGGTAATGCTTTCTCCATCTTTCCGGCTGACAGAGGATAGCAAGAAAAAATTGTTTATAGTTACTTTATTATTAAATAAATTTACCTGTCTATATAAAAAAAATTCTCGCTCTTATCCTGTATTTACCAAAGAGGATCAGTCAAAAGGTAAGTTATTCTGACTTTCATCCAATTACAATCGCTTGAAAACAAAGTAGAAATACACAACACAACACACAAAAAAAAAAAGCAAGCAAGCGATCACATTAGGAAAAAAAAGGATAGCATCCACCAAGGAAGTGATGAAAATATGATCGAAGTTATTAAACAACAAAAACGAAAGACGGGTGTTACGTTTAGCAAGAAGAAAGGATATCGGGTGGATTAAAAGGTTGATCGAGGTCTAATTGACAGTAAAAGTAGTAGAAAAAGACCAATCATAAGATGACGAGATGAGGGGTTTACTAGTGACACGGCAGAGGCTGTCATGGGGAGTGTGGCGAAAGGCCTTTGTCTAGCAATGGAATAGAAATGGCCGATGAGGTCTTGAAAATAAACAAATTTATCTTACTGAAATCGATCTTCCATACGATACTGTATTCGGAATGTAACGCTAAAACAAACGCATTTGGGCATTCTTTTTTTTTAATGCTTTGACTGTTCAGGATGTAGGCAATCCTGGCTCTCTACAGATTTTTTTGCTTTATTATCTGGGAATTGACATGCATTTTTGGGAAAGATTGTGGAGTAATTTCCTGTTAGGTTCTCTTTTTTTTAAAATTAGTGTGTCCCTTCTTATACTGGCTTCCACCTCGAACAAGAAAGTCCAATCTACATTTCTACTTAATCAATAGCAAGATGGACGAAAGATGCGTTCATGCTTTTCCCAATGGCATTTGTGAGAAAGTTAAGACGATAATATTTATATATCCATTTTATTTATTAATCCGACAGATTTTATCACTTAAACGTTATTTTTAGTGGATACTCATATCTGAGTAGACACCCAGTTTCTTTATGAATAATAGGTCTGAATATTCGAGAAATCTTATTAAAGTAAAATATGCACTCTCAGTCTGCTCAAATACGAGTATCCAATAAAAATAACGTTTAAAATGATAATATATATATATATATATATATATATGTGTGTGTGTGTGTGTGTGTGTGTGTTATTTATACGTTATATTTAAGTAAATGTTCTGTTTATAATAAACAACATTTACCGACCTGAACGCCCGAGAAATTTCATAGAAAATATGCGTCGTCCGACAGGTATCGAACCTGTATCCTACATGGAACCGTCATATAGCCTGACGTGCTCTACCAATTTAGCTACGGAGGATATTTTCTAAGACATTTCTCGGACGTTCAAGCCGGTAAATGTTGTTAATATTGTTTATTATAAACAGAGCATTTACGTAAATATTTGTGTCTATATATAACAGTAAAATATATTAAAATAATTGTCGGGCTTAGTCCATTTCGTAGTATATATATATATATATATATATATATATATATATATATATATATATATAGGGTGTATCAAAAATAATTTTACAAACTTTGGAGATGGGCTTCTCACACCAAAACAAGGAGAAAAGTACATATAAATATATGTGCGCAAATTCTTCGTTTTTTAGTTATTAAGTTTAAAGAAAGTTCACAGTAGATGGCGCTGTGTTGCCATGTAGACTAGGTTACATTTGTCATTCGTGTACATTTGTGGATAATCTGTCTTCAATGTTTAACGTGTGTAGTAGTGAGTTAAGTGAGAAGTGTTCCGTTTAACAATGGCAGGATATTCATACCGTGAGCAGGCAGATACGATTTTTGCATATGACAGCGAATTATAATAAGCACGAGGTTTTCTTAAAACTTAACTCAAAAACGACGAATTTGCGGACGTGTGTTTATGCGGACTTTTGTCCTTGTTTTGGTGCGAGGAACCTGCCCCCAATTTTGTAAAAGTATTTTTCATACACATTGTATATATACCGGGTGTAACAGCAAAATTGTCCAAATCATGTAACAGCAAAATTGACCAATTGTTAGATTAGGATTTGAACAGTTGCATCTTAAAAAATGATTAAATGTATCTTACTGGAATCCTCCGAGGTTTTTATAACACTGCTTAACTCTAGTTTAAACAATAAGAATGTATTTACCTCTAAGATGAAATGATGATGCCTCTTGCTGTCGTGAACTCCTGATCCAGTTTTCTTCTCTACTGTTCCCGCTGTTTTGAATTTTTTTCACCGTTCTCTTGATGGTTCTTGAAAGGACTTTGAAGATGGAAGCCAAAGTATGAATATTGGTACCGTGACTGAAGGCCTGAACGATCTTTTTCCTCTCATCATTGCTCAGTTGGGAAGACATAGTGGGGCTGACAAAAAGCGATTTACCATGTTCTCTTTCTAGTTGAATATCCCAAAGGTTTTGCAGTGATTCTTACGACAAATGGTGTCAAGATGACTAAGCGTGTTACCTGAAAACCTGGAAAAAAGAAACTAAATTCATTTCGTGTTTTTTTTGTTTTTGTTTTTTTGTTAGAAATTTTATCGCATGCTGTTTCACGATTTGTACAATTTTGCTGTTACACCTGGTATATATATATATATATATATATATATATATAGATAGATAGATAGATAGATAGATAGATAGATAGATAGATAGATAGATAGATAGATAGATAGATAGATAACTATACTCGTTTCGAAAAACCCTCGAATTTTTGATTTTGAATCAAATCAATCTCGAGGGAAAAAAGGTTTTAAAAAAGGAAAGAGCCTGAAACATGAAAGTATGTCGAAAAAAATCGCACAGATACAGGTTTGAAGCCCAAAGAAAAAAACACCCGACACGAGTAAACAACTAACAAAAGAGCTCAATACAACCGTAGAGCAGACCTAGATAAACTTAGTGAGCCAGACAAACCTACCCAGGTTTCACCTAAACGGATCGTCTATCTATCTATCTATCTATATATATATATATATATATATATATATATATATATATTACAATGAAGCATGCCGATGATGATAGGATGACCTATCGAAAGTACTAGCATATTTATGGAACATACGGAACATCTAAAAAAAAGATTCGCATTATTCCACGAGTGGTTAGTGGGTTAATACTTTTAAATTTCTTAGCGAAGTGAATTCACCATTGATTACATTAACGTTGCTAATTTATTCTTTGTATAACTGCTTCATATGTAATATTAATTATACTGCACCAATCTTATCTATATATATATATATATATATAGGTGTGTGTGCGCGCGCGTGTGTGTGTGTGTGTGTGTGTGTATAATTTTACTTCAAACGTTATTATTTAGCGGATACTCTTATTTTAAAGAGACGCCCCATTTTATTCATTGTTTAACATAAACAGTAAATTTAAAACAGTCTATTTCAAATACCAATATCCACTATAATAACACTATGCTATGAACCAATAAAAATGTCGGATCAAAAATAAATCCACTAATTCTTTAGAAATTGCTTTATTTACGTTTTGGATACGAAACTGAGCAAATATGGGCTTTTGGAACAAAAATATATGAATGATAAAGTTTTCTTTCCTTAAAAGCGAAAATAGGTGACAACTAGTGAAGCATGCCGTATTAAAGAGTAGTGTTTCCTAAAAAGTGTGGGGGAGGGCAGGTTCGATCCCTGTCTGAGAATACATTTTTTATTAAGATTTCTCAAAAGACGACAGACGTAATACAGTTTAAAATGAAAAAATAAAAATGGGAAATCTATTTCAAATACGAGTATCCACCAAATAACATTTAAATAAAAATGTCGGATTAAAATAAATCCAGAATAAACAACTTCGTTGATGTAACTTACCGACAACTTGTCATAAGACCTAACACCTTACATAAGAGAAAATATCAAAGAAAGAAAGAAAAAAGAAAAAATGATCTAAAGGTAAACACCTGCCTATTCAGTAAAGTGCTTAACGCCTAGATTACCTAGACAGAGCAATATATATATATATATATATATATATATATATATATATATATATATATATATATATATATATATATTTATTTAAATATGTTTGAAACGGTACAAAAGCGTATTAAGGCATTAAAAAAAGAAATTTTATATTGTAGGCCATGATAGATTTAAAGCAAAACACACACCAGTCGACCGGTTTCGTCCCCTCTCATCAGAACTGTTAACGAGGAAATAAAATTATGAGAAAAAGAAAAGAAAAAGTCTGTCATGGATGACATGAATGAGTGGACAGGGAGAAAAAATATTATAAAAATTATACCAACAAAGATGCTAGAAGAACAAAGACAGCAAGTCCAAGCAAACAATCTCTTTGTTTACAAAGAGCAGGTTGCCCTGGACCTGATGTAAAGCGACTCCAACACCTTTAAGATGGAATAATGAGTGCGAACTGACCAAAACGGAAAACCAATATATATATATATATATATATATATATATATATATATATATATATATATTAATTCTACGCTAATTGTTTCTTCTATCGCACTTCTTGCTTGTGGATCTCTCTTTCGGCCTGTTGATTTCCAGACAAATTTGAATTTCAGAAATTTAAATGCCATGTCGTTCGTTATCTTTTCTCTAAATTCCTGTTCTTTTATTGCACTCTCTCCTTAATAATGGTCTCTTTTTCTCTTATTCTTTCACGTTCAGAATCTTAGTGTCTTTATTGCCTTGTCGGGAGTAAAATGATTTTTTTTAAATCTTCAGATCTTTTTTTTTTTTAAATAAAAACAGTCATAAATCGGTGTTTATTGCGTGAAATATCTTAACATCTTTTCTTCCTGGGGTTCACATCACTAGTGTTTTTTTTTTTTCCTCCCCAAATTTTTACAATTATTTTTCATTTTTTCATTGATCATTCCGTTTTTAATAATTTTTGTTATTTCTATTTTTGGGACGATATCTGTGCTGAGTGAATTTATGCTTATTAAACCGAAAAGATACAAAATGAAATAACTTTTATATACAACAGACTCCACAAGTATATTGTTAAATCTTCGCTTCAAACCCTGACAACACTAAAATACAGGGTGTCCCAAAAAATTTGACATCATTTCGCAGGTCATTATTTTTGACAATTCTTGTTGAAATAACATCAAATTTTCACAGAATCTGTAGAAACAGTTCAAGGTTTTATATATAATATTTTATTTTTCTTGTCTCAATAAGAACCTTCCAGAGAGATGAATCGGGTGTGTAGGTGATGAAGACAGATTTCTGATGAAATGGCCGCCACAGTCTCAGGACCTGTTTCCGTGTGATTTCTTTTTATAGGGATATGTGAAGGGACTGATCTATGTTCCCCACCTCTTCATACTAGCATTGATGAACTCAAGCAGAGAATCTCTTCTGCACTAGATAATGTTACCGGAGACATGCTACAGCGTGTTTGGCAAGAGCTTAACTACCGACTTGACGTGTGCCGTGTCACAGGCGTAGCACATATGGAACACCATAATGAACTTATGATGTTCAACACCTAATCTGTTTAATTTCATTGAGCTAGACTTAGTTGTTTTCAACTGTTTTTTAAAAATGATGTCAATTTTGGGGGGACACCCTGTATATGCAGACTGTTTCATAATGAACTGGTTTTAAATTAATGTTCTGTCCTCACGAAACCAAAACTAACTTCAAACGAGTGATAAAGGTTTCTGAGCATTTGAGTTGGATTTTTCATTCCTCCTCAGTCAATCTTATTTTTCATGTCATGTTTTTTTCAGGGCGTAGGCTATCTTTTATAGCTCTTAGTGAATTTGGTCTTTTCGTTATCTCTCTTAAACCCTGTTCTGTCATCCATTTACCCAAGCTCTCTAGGTAGGTTAGACGTTGTTTTCCTCTGTCCCTCTTGCCTTCAATCTGCCCAGTGCATATCAGGGTTGTTTAAAAACAGAAAATAATCTAAGATTGTAGGAATTTTTTGAGAGAGAGAATAATTAGTTAGTGTTATAAGTTTCACTAATTAATCCATAGCTGGGGGAGAAGAGGTGGATCTATACCTTCTCCAAGGGTATTTGCGTGCAAGTGAATATAACAAACCCAACTGGAACTCAGGTTAACAATTCAAAACTATAATCCATTACACCACCTGCACATCCATGCTTACAACACCTGCTCATCCTGTGTACCCATACCTGATTTCACCCTAGAACTGCGGTTCTATTGAGCGAGCTACACATAACCCCATCGTTGGTATTGGGCATCATCTCTAAATTAGACTCCCATAAGGCTAGTGATAGAGACAGGATACCAGCCATTGTCCTGAAGAAATGTGCTCCTGAACTGGCGCCTGCCCTATTCAAATTATATAACTACTGCTTCAATAAATCTTGTTTCCTCAGCCTGTTGAAAGACCTCATCTATTGTACCTGTCTTTAAGAACTCTGGAGACCCTTCTGACCTAACTACCGTCCTATCAGTCTCCTACCATTCTTCAAGAAAGTCTTTGAAGCTTTAATCAATGCCGAAGTGGTTAAGCACCTTATATCCCATGATCTGCTCTCTGACAAGCAATACGGTTTCCACTTTGCCCGTTCTACAGTTGATGTGCTCACGGCCATAACCGAAATTGTTTACCAAGCACTTCACAATAACGGAGAAGCTCGTGCCGTGGCTCTAGATATCTCTAAAGCTTCGTAAGCTTCAGGGATACGGAATTTCAGGATGATTATTTGAATTAATACAATCCTTCCTGTCAAACCGTGTAATGAAGGTCGTCCTTAACGGATTCTCTTCTAGTTCCTTTCCCACGAACGCAGATATTCTTCAAGGCTCTATCCTACTCTGTTCCTTATCTTCATTAACGATCTTTCTTATGCCATCAGTTACCATGTAGGCATCTATGCAGAAGACACTACTATTTACTTCTACTTCAAAAGCATATCTGGTGTCGCTGACAAAACTAACCTGGCCGTTAGTTTCGAAAAGAACCTCTAATCAGTTGTAGACTGGGACAGGAATTGGCTGGTTAACTTTAATACCTCAAAAACAAAACTGCTCTCTATTACTCACCACGGAGAACCTTCTCTGCCTACCATTAGAATGCTTTGCTGCTCAACTCCACTCCGCGAGAGCATCTCTTTGCGACTGTTTGGTCTCATACTGTCCGCTGACCTGAGATAGAACAATTACATTGCCTCAATAGATTCATCTACCACAAGGAAAGTTGGTTCTCTTTGTCGCGTCAGAAAGTTTTTCTCGCCCGAGTTCATCCTTCAAATCTATAAATCAACCATTCGCCTTTGCATGGAATACTGCTGTGCCCCGATGTTCGTCTTAAGGTCCTTGACAAAATCCAGAGACAGATATGCAATGTGATTGGCCCTGATCTGGTATCTCGTCTACAGTCGCTCTCTCACAGACGTACCGTCGCCTCCCCGTTTTTTTTTCTACAAATACTTTCACAGTAACTGCTCCGACGAGCTACTTTCGCTAGTTCCCAGACTGCATGAATTTAAGCGTGCTACTAGGTTGGCATCTCAGTCCCACCCTTTCACTGTCGAAAGGGTTAAATGTGGCCGTCTCTTCTACTCCAATAGCTTCATGTCTCGCACCTCCCGTCTGTGGAATTCCCTCCTTATTACTTGTTTCCCTTATAGCTATAATCTCCAATTATTCAAATGTAATGTCAATCAACATCCCCAGATGCCTTGATCTATTC